GGAGAGGGGAGAGAGAGAGAGAAGAGAGGAGAGGGGAGAGAGAGAGAGAGAGAGAGGAGAGACAGAAAGAGAGGAGAGGGGAGAGAGAGAGAGAGAAGGAGAGAGGAGAGAGAGAGAAGGAGAGAGGAGAGAAGGAGAGAGAGGAGAGGGGAGAGAGAGAGGAGAGAGGAGAGAAGAGAAAGAGGAGAGAGAGAGAGAGGAGAGAGAGAAAGAGAGAGGAGGGGGGGAGAGAGAGAGAGAGAAGGAGAGAGAGAGGAGAGAGGGGAGAGAGAGAGAGGAGAGAGAGAGAGAAAATATCCTTGCTGAAATGGCCATAGGGAGCGTGAGTATGCACATGGTGGTGTGTTGGTGCACACGTCTAAACCATGTTGTAAACATGGTACTCAACATGTCCTTGAGTTCTGACTCGCCATTTGAGCTGATTTCTGTGGCACTGTTTGCCCCCTGGTGGTAATGGGTTTGAACTTCATCATGGAACTTGACCCCCTTTCAAAGACTAGAGTCAGACATTCTGTAGTGATAGAAGAGGCGTGGTCCTCATCTTGAGCATGGGTCACCTGAGGCCGGGGGAGCTGCACACATTTCCCAAGATCCACAGCCCTCAGGGGGCCCAGCGCCCAGCCTAAGCCAGGGCTCTCCACCACATCACAGTGCCTTTGTGGGTGACTGGAAAAATTGGGGATAGTATTGAGGTTTGCTTTCACTGGCACCTTTATAGGGAAGGGTTTACCTTGATGGCAGTTAGCCCTAACAATGCATTACTTGAAAGTTTAAAACACTGTAATTTCACGTGAAGAGGTACTCTGCCAGAGCACATGTGTCCATACGTGCACATGTACACACACGGGCAGTGTCTCTCTTCGTAGAATGTAAGCTCCTGGAGGACAGGGAGTGTCACCGTTGCCTAGCCGTGGCTGGCTGGCACACAAAAGGTGCTTAATAAATGCTAGCTTGACTGGTAGAAGAGGACCCTCCTACATGGTGGCAGTAGTTCCCATGGAAGCCGCAGGAATTCTAGGTCTGGGTCCTTTTTTGGTCACAACGCTCTTGCTCTTTAGGCAAGAGAGCATCCAGATTTGGGGGGGGAGCACTTATTAAGTGCCTGCTGTGTGCCAGGCACTGTGTTAAGGACTTTACCATCTCTTTTTTTTTTCTTTCTTCTTTTTTTTTCTTTTTTAGGCATTGGGGTTAAGAGACTTGCCCAGGGTCACACAGCTAGTAAGTGTCAAGTGTTTGGTCTGAGGCCGGATTTGAACTCAGGTCCTCTTGACTTCAGGGCCGGTGCTCTATCCACTGCGCTACCTAGCTGCCCCCATATTATCTCATTTGATGGGATAGGGGTGAATTAGGGTGGTTTTCACTGAGGCTGGAAACAACAAGAACCCATCAGAAGTGTTGGCTGGCAGCAGGTGAATAGTGGCCACTCCCGGCTTCCACCTGGGCCTCTTACACCAGCTCTTCCTTGTGCCCCTTGGACTCCTGACTCCAGGGGACTTAGTCTAGAGGCCAGAATTTAAACTGAGTGACCTGAAACAATTTAGCATTTAGAGAAAACGAATCAGAAATGAGGAACCTTTCCGCCTAATTTTTCCTGTTAGTTGCTGCCCTATATTACTTGTGGTACATCAGATTTCAGTGAAGTGGGTGGTACTGTTCCATAGTAGAGGGTTAGATACTTTAAAAACCTAAATCTATTTGGGATATTATTTTAATTCTCTCAGCAATGGATGACCAAAGCTGGGAGTCGGTGATGTCTTACTGTCTACAGGAAAAATAGAAGTGGCCAGAGATAGAGAAGCATTTCCTGGGGGCTCTTTGACCTTTCTTAAATATACTGATAGTGACAGCTCTTTTTCCATATTTTCCTGATTGGTTACAGTGAGTGGTTCTGTGTCATCCCTGTTCTCCATTTCCAGGTCACAAATATAAAATGTTTTGCAAACAATTTACCATCGTAGCAACTGTTAGAACTCTAGCCTTCTGGGACCATGCAGCAATTGTTTGAATCTTGAAAACATTTCCTGACAACACAAATGTTTTGAGGGGAAAGCAAATAATTTTGCCAACAGATGTTACTACCCAAGTCTACTGTGAATGGAAGCATAAGCATATAAACCTTGGAATATGGAATAGAAAAGTTCATGCATATTCACACATCTATCTTTATCTGAATTGCTGTGTAGAAAGAAAAAATGACAACTTAGACCCTTGGAAATGACCTCACCCACAACACTATACAGTGAGACTAATGCACAAAGCAATAAAAATCTTGGCTGTTGAAACTAGACAGCTTAAACTTAGGTAACTCTATCTGTTTTTTTAAATGGTCAAATTAGGTTTTTTTGATTCTGTGGATAAATGTGTCATTATTTTTAGTTTATGATTTTAATGCCCTACCAATGTGGCACAAAATATTTTGTATAGAAAGCACAGGATTATAGTCCATAGCGCAGAATACGATGAGGAAGGGCCTAAAGGACATTTTCTTCTTACTCTGAGGGCAGGGCCTTCTGTTTCTGCACTTCCCTGTCCCCGTATTCTTGGGCCTGTGAGGATCCCCTGAGTAAACCAAGATAAATAAGCCCTAAGGAGGACTGCGTGGAAAGAAGGCAGGGCAGTGGCATCGTCCGTACCACTGAGTTGTCATCACATCTTCCCTGTCCTGTGGGTAGCCACCCCAAAGCAATCATTTGTGAACTGACGTGCCATGTCACCCTTTCTCCCCTTCCAGGAGCCCCCAGAAGGAAGATCGGCTTCCCATGGCAGATGAATACTATGAGTATAAGCACATAAAAGCCAAACTGCGATTACTAGAGGTTCTCATCAGTAAGCAAGATGTGTCAAAAACTATCTGAGGTTGTGGAAAAGTCCTGATTGAATTCTTCCAACGGAGGCAACTTTTCTCGCCCTCTCCTTCCTCCTGGGTCATTTTGAACACTGTATTCAGAAGCACTTTAAGCCACAGAATTAGCTGTGGATGAGAAAGGATGGCATTCGTGATATCACATGGATGGGAGAAATTGAGAAGGGCCCCTGTGGTCAAAGAAAAGGAGCCAGTGGGAGAGGAATCCCCAAGGATGATTTAGAACATTCCCAGCCCATCGAATTTTTTTTAAGGTTGATATTGACTTCAGTTGATAGAGTACTTACACAAATGTAGTGACATATTCTATTGTTGAGAGAGGTCACTCAGGAGGAAACCAATCCAATGTAGTTTCTTAAGACAAGCTCACGTTGACTGCATAAGGAGGAAGAGGGTGGTAAAGTTAAAACTCCTTTGGGGGAATAAAAAAGCAATAGAGGAGAAATTCTGCTTTTTCATACAGAAAGGAATAACATTGGTAGTAAAATAGTTAATTAAGCTTCTACTAGAAATTATTTTTTAGATAAGCAAAAAACCCACAGACATTCAATTGTCCTTTTATGTCTCCAGTACCTTAAAATAACTGACCTTAGAATAGGTGATGCTGATTTTTAATTTCTCTATTAAAATTAGCACCTTATTTTTGCCTTTGATTTGAAATTTTGTGTTTCCAATTACCAAAGCTCATTCTGACGGCATGCACTTTGTGAATTATCAAGTATTCTTTGTCTATACTTGCCAGATGTTTATATTAAAATAAAAATATTGCGTTCAAATTTGAAAATAGGTATTTTGGATAGCTCAGTGTCTGTAGCATATAACTGAATTGCTGGTTATGATTGCTAAGCTATTTGCTTCCTGGAACTCAGATTACCTGATTATTTTTCCATTGGAAATAGGCATTTTTCTCAATGTTCTACATGTAAATGCTCTAAGCTGGTGAGATCTAAGCATTTCCTCCCAAGCTGTGATTCTTGTCTCTGGGCAAAAGTTCATTTCAAAGCTTTGTGATTGTCTGTTCCATTATCTAACAAAATACAGGAAATGCTTGAGGGCAGTGAAGCCTTTTGAGAAGACCAGAGGGGAGGAGGCCTGTCACATCACATTGAGTATATGTTGTTCATGCCGCTCTGTATGAAAGGACACACTGCCATTTATTTTTGTTTTGGTCAAAAGTCTGTGAAATGGCAACACTTCCTTTGGTCTCAACCACATCTACAGTCTATAGTGTAGGTAATGTTTAAGCATGGTTCTGAAGAAATCCACATTTTCATAGTCTGGATGAGAAAAGTGTTGAGCACTCCACAAGTGGACTTTTCCATTTCCCTGGCTTGTTGTTTTCTGTGTATTGACTTTGGTATTTTATAACTTTTATGAATCAGAATAATTCTCCTTCGTAAACTTGTTTAATTGAAATCTGTCTCTAATAATAACAGGAACAGATACACAGCTACTTACTTGAGATTTACAAGCTATGTCTTTGATAAGGGGAAACGGTTTCATGACGTGTACAATTGCTATTAAAATGTAATCTATATATTCTATATGATTGTAAATATTTTATATAACAGTACAAATAAAATATTTTTCTATTATATTTATTATGTTGAAACACAGTAGTTGTTTCCTGTTAGCTAATATAAATAACATAAATAACACTGTCAAACAACAAGTTGGAAGTGCTGACGATTCTAGGCTTCAAGATTTTTAACTCATGCTGCAATTACAACCTCTCATGCTGTTTGGAGTTATCGCGATATATTTGTTCAGTAGATTAAAATGAATGCATATTTAAACAACATTTGTAAGCCATTAATTTGTATTCTGCTAAAGCTGCCTACATAGATTCGTTTTGTTACGTTCGGCAGAAAAGGATAAAGAAAAGACATTGCAGCATCTAGACAATAAACGAGTGAGCCCGAAGGAAACCTCAGGACCTTTTATCATCTAAGCAATGGGAAGGGAAGGGAAGGGGAAATACTAAAAGTGCTATTAAAGAAACTGTGAAACGTAGCTGACTGCTTTTGGTGACGGCGGCACGGACATGCTTCAGAGAACACCTGGCGATGAGAACGGACAACGGAGGATCAGATGCTCCTAGGGAAGGGCTGGAGGTGAAGGGAGGGCTGAGGAGGGCCGAGGAGAAGGAAGCCCGGGAGCGTGTTAACGTCCGACGCTAATATTGCAGGTTTTGCAGCTGGGATCTTTCTTTGCATTGGCGGTAGACAAGCTCATGAGCTGGTGACCAGTGATTTCTGCCACGGTGCCAAGGGAGAGATCCACAGGGTCAGTGTAAATAACTTCTAAAATGACATCCTGGGCATGGTGGTAAACCAGCACGCCATCTTCTTCAGTGCAGGTCAGAAATCTATTATCCTTAGAATTTAGCTGAGGGAGGCGCTGCTTACAGAATTCATCTCCTGGTGACCCAACAGGAGCGATGACAAGAATCACGTAATGGTACGCGGTGTACATACAGTAGAAGTCCCCAAAGTACAAGTTGGTATTGGGGTTAAAGAGTTTCTCTGCTGCGATCTCGAACCTGTATCTGCCATAAGGGGAATCTTGGGGAGGCTTCCCTGTATTGAACTCGGTGCTGCAGCTGAAGAAGATGCCCTCCAGCTTCCCGCTGATGGGAGAACCGTGGCTCCCACTGTTATCCTTGACGGAGGGCTGCATGGCATTCCCGTGCTGTTCTCTGCAAGGCAAGGAGGAGGGCACTATTTAGTGTCTGCTACTGCTAGCACCACTTAGCAGTAATTTTCACCACAGTGCTACTGGAAATATATAGCTCTGATTGCTATAGATGCCAAGTTGAGCCATTCACCTAGTGTGTATGTAGCTGGAATGGTCACAGAAACAATATCAAGAGCTGATAGATTGTTGTGAGTCTTACCAAGAGCTCTCTTTATTCTGATTTTTGTGCTAACCGGTTATCAAGAACAAAACTTTTTTCACTATCATATAGTTAATAGAATTCAACTTTACTATTAAAGCTAGAGATCCTCTACTGCAAAATGGAAAGACCTTTACTATGGTGAATTTCTATTTACCTGGAATCTAAGCCACCACCAAAAAAACTCCTGTCAGTTGGAATGACAAATGTCAGATAAGAGACTGAGGTCAAGTCCATTGTGCATCTTAGCTTCTGATCAAAACTCAACTCCTCAACATACCATAGGGTCACCATGGACTCAACCAAATCTATAAGTCATGTAAGATATGACAACAGTGCAGTAGAACAGATTTTTAGAAAACCTTTTGGGGATATCCTTTTTGGAATGGCTCCCATGGCCTAGGATAGATATGTCTCAAAGAAAAATATCCCCAATGTGGGGGCCAATCTTTTCCTTTTGATGTGGTTTATTATATCTTTTGAAATAAGTAAAATCTGGAGCCAAGAGCTTACTAAGTTGGGTGATCAGGTTTGCAATTACTACGTGAGGTAGAGCAGGGATTAAGATCAGAATGATGAAATCGAGTACAAAAAGAACGGCGTTATGTTCTGTGGTACTGGAAGCAATCCAAAGAGACGTGTCAGAAATATCTGGAGCAATGGAATCAAAAGGTGAGTAGTATGAAGGCTATCCCCCATTTAGACACACAGAATGTACCAAAAGTGTTGTGTCCTTGAAAATTTAAATAATGACAATAGTAATAATAGCTAATTATAGCGCTTCCTAGATGTCAGGCACTATGCTAAGTGCTTTACAATTATTATCCCACTTGATTCTCAAAATATCCCTGGGAGGGAGGGAGGGAGGGGCTGTTACCATCACCATTTTACACCTGAAGAAACAAGCAAAGAGCAGCTAAGTGACTTGCCCAGGGTCACACAGCTAGTAAGTGTCTGAGGCACAGTTTCCTGACCCAGGCCCAGTGCTCTAGTCACTGCACCACTCAGTGGCCTGCCATAGCTTTCATAGCTTCACATGGCACTCAGACTGATGGGACACCTCATATAAGCAGTGGAATGGTCAAGGGCACCCAGCTAGGACTGACGAGTGCCAAAAGCTGGAACAAGACAAATCAAGTCACATTGGCTCTCTCACACAAAGGATGAATGCTCCAAACTCTATCATGAAGGGGCCAGGCTCAAAGATCCCATAAACTCCATACTCCTTTGTATGCTATATTTAGATGTGTCTTTTCCCCCCACTGAGGTAGAAGCTCCATATACAAGAGGGTCATTTCTCATTTTTGGTGTTCTGTTGTGCATACAGTAGGTGATGACTATTTGCTGAATTTTAGACACAAAAGTACCACTACTTTGTAGGCTTACCTTGGTTATATTGACCCGGGGCACACTACAAGATCCCAAAGTCTTATCTGAGTCACCATTAAGTGAAATTATTTTTGGTAGTGGCTCCGCTATGGGTATTCGATTAGATTCTCATTGTCTGAAATTGGAGATTTGTGAATTCTTTCTGTTTTAACTGCAAATTCATCAGAATTCTCAGTTAATCAGAATAAAAAAGGTGTCTCCTTTGACTCAAACCAGGTTATCCTGGTTGGTTAAATGAGAATGGAGGCTTGAGAACTTACCAAGTTTTCAATCAACATTTAAAAAATCTATACTTTCAACAAAAAATAAGGCATGATTAAATATTTAATGGAGCCTGTTTGAGTATCCAGGACTTTTTGACATTCAGGTTTTCATAATTACAGAATAGGTGAACAAAGTTATCCACACTATATTCTTTAATTGTACCATGTCTTAACTGTCTAGATAATTTCAGTCTCTCTAAATTCTAGTTGATTCTAGACTAGAACAATATAGACCGAATCAATCATTTGTAAACATTATGGAGTGCCTACTGTGTGCCAGGCACTGTGCTAAACGCTGCCTTGAAAGAGGACGTGGAATGGTTTTCTAGCAGTCAGCCAATCAAAACTGGCCTTTCTCGTTTACAACTCTGCCTGACGCTTCATCCTTTTTAAAACAGCAACTTGATCACGTGGCACAAGTGTGCATAAAAAGCACATGGTGGATTTTCTACTATTACTAGCATCCACTAAAAAATAAGGAAAGTAACTTAGTCCACATCCCATAGAGGCAAACACTTTCTTTCGTTTTCCTTCTCTAATCGGGCCATTAAACACGTTTCCGTTGCTTTTTACGCAGCAGCAGGAGAAGCTTTCCTGCACTATACTGGGGGGTGCGCGGCCTTCGGCAGGCTCCTGCTGCGGCCTGAGCTCAGTCGAGCAGGGGACTCTGGCCGACTTCCGGGGCATCACGCTCCTTCCCCGGTGCCTTTTTGAGAACTCTGCCTGCCTGCCCTTGTTCGCTGTTCCCATTTCAGAACTGAAAAAATACTTCAAGGCCAAGTTCACCAGGACATGCCATTGCCTCTTGTGCCTCGGCAGCAGTGACACACAGAGAAGTTTGGGGAGCAGTTTAATCCACAGTAAGGGGGAATGAGCACAGGATTTGGAGTCAGAAGGCCTGGGTTCAAATCCTTAGGGCCACTGCCTCCTAGGGCCTTGGCTGTGGATTTAACGTCCTTGGGCCTCAATGTTCTTATCTGGAAAATGAAAGGGTTAAATAACAACTAATATATCACTGGATCATAGGTTTAAGGCTGGAAAGAACCTTTTTATAGGCTTTATTTCACAAATAAGGAAATTGAGGTTGTGATTTACCCAGTTTGAGGCAGAATTTGAACTCTGGTCTTCTTGACACCAAGCCCTTACACCCTTATCCACTGGGTCCCCTGCTGCCTATTTAGCATTCGGGCAGCGAGGGAGCACCACAGTGCCCAGAGAGCTGGGCCTGGAGCCAGAAAGACCTGACTTCAGAATCCAGCCTCAGACACTTAACTAGCTGTGTGATCCTGAGAAAGTCATTTTGCCTCTGTTTGCCTCAGTTTTCTCATCTGTAAAATGGGAAGCATAATAGCTCCTTCCTCCAGGGTTCTTGTGAGTATCAAATGAGTTAATTGTAATGCTCTTAGCACAGTGCCTGGCATGTAGTAAGCACTATGTAACTATTAGCTATTATTATTAATACTCATTTTTAGGTTTGTGGAGTCCTTTATGGGCTTCATCTCATTTCATCCTCATGCTGACCCTGAGGGAGGGGAACCAGATGGTCTCTAAGTCCCCTTTCAGTCCTAACTCTCCTAGTTGGCATCATCTGGCAGAGTCACTAAGTAGCCTTTGAGGTTCACTTCGTAATTGGGCAAGGGCCAGTCCTGGGTATGTGCAGTGCTCTGTCAGGTGGTGGCTTAGGGAGTTATCCGAGAGAACAGAAGACCTCTTCTACCCTAATTGTCTAGAATAACCTAAGTCCCAAAGGCGTAAACAAATCATTTGCTTAGCAAAAAAGGCTAGAGAAAGTAGATTCTGTCTAAGCAAATTTATTCCTTAGTTTTTTCTTAATTCCTTAGTCTTAAGCACTTTATTTTTTTGTCCTAAAAAAAAAATCTATTCTTTTAAATGATATTAACAGAAGGTAAAAATCCAGATGACATGTGTTCTACCTAGATTTTCTAGAAGATTACCTCAAGCATATTTAAGTTAAATAACAAAAATGATGCTGATTCTGGGATTTTATATGTGACATTCATGAGGAGTGACAGAATTCTTGCCATTTCTTAAG